TGGGCTTGCAGGTAAATATTCTAGACTTAATTTCACACCACAAACCCAAAAATGCCAAAACCTGAACCTGGCGATCACTTGTGAACTATTTCCAGGCTTCATAGAGATGTAAAGACTTAGGTCCACACACAAACACACTCACAAATGTCTATGGTTTTTAAATTTTGCTCTGCCCATATCCCCCGACATATTGTGAAAGTATTTGCCTGCTTTTTTCCCAAGTTTGTTTCTTATTATTGCCCTATAATTTGGTGGGAAAAAAATGCACATATATGATAATTTTTACTTTCTCCACATGCAGATTTCTATGAAAACTAAATTTAAATGAAGTTGAAAGAAGAGGCACAGTATGTTAATTTTATTCTAAGCTTGTCAATAAGCTTACTTATCTGATTTACTTAAGGTTGACTTTAATTCTTTTGTTTCTAGAACCCAAGGTCCCCAGCTTGTTTTCAAATCTTTGTACACGCAAAGATGTGTACACGCAAATCTTTTCTTGTATCAAAATCCTACCAAGCAGACATGTTTTACTTCCAAGGATATTCAGAAATTATTTATCTGCTCACATGCCAACGGCACTGCTTAAAACAAGTTGGACATGGTCTCTGTCTATAAATGCCAGGCGTTCACAGAGAACACCAAGCGCTTGGAATCTGAGGATTTAAAGAAAAAAAAAGGAACATTCCATTGTGTTATGTTCCCTCATCTTTTTTCTTCCACAGTAATGAGTTTACACTATTGGCTCCAAATCTGTTAGGAAGTTACACAATGCCACAGTTCTTTATCCAAAAAAGAGAACAGAACATAAATATGGAATGAAAACCAATTTTTAAAAATTCTGGTAGACAAAAATTGGTACAAATAAAATAGGATATATCAGTAAATTCTAAGACAGAAGATTTTTCTTTTAACTTTTATTTATTTATTTTTCCCCCCCAAAGCCCCAGTAGATAGTTGTATGTCATAGCTGCACATCCTTCTAGTTGCTGTATGTGGGACGTGGCCTCAGGGTGGCCGGAGAAGCGGTGCGTTGGTGCGCGCCCGGGATCCGAACCCGGGCTGCCAGTAGCAGAGCGCGTGCACTTAACTGCTAAGCCACGGGGCTGGCCCCTAAGACAGAAGATTTTAGTACAGTATTCAGTTTCCTAATGTCAGTTGATACAGTCTGGGGCACAAAAGCTCTCGTGGTTACACATCTGTAACATGTAACCTCTAAGCTGTAAAGTTATCACCAGCGAGTTGGTATGTCTGCTGTGGAGCAATGACTATTCTGTGATAATCTCTATTCAAACCTTGACGATCAGTACGTTTATTCTATTAGAAACCTAGAACATTACTGCAAGAATTGGACTGAGGTTTTCAGTAAGATAGTTTAACCAGTCAAAAAAAAAGTCAGATAAAGGCTTTATAAAGCCAGTATAACTCCCTTGGATTAAAGTTAACAAATCAATTCCTAGCCATAAAAGAAAAATTGTAAGATAGAAAAAGCCTATTCAAATGATATCTTTTGATATCAAATTATTATAAAATTGAATATAGGAGAGTGTGGAGAAACTGCAGCAAAAAGATCATAGTAGACGAGCACACAGAATGAAATGAGTCAGGAGAGGTACGTGTGCGTGGGTGAGTGGCTGGTAAAATCTGCAAGTGTGTGCTGTAAGCAGACTAAAACAATGAATAGTGAACATTGTATTTGAAGATTGACACACAGAGGAAGAGGAACTATTAGGAACCATATGGTTGGATTGGTCCTAACACTCTTAAAAGAAGGACACTTTATCTATTCTACCTACAAATAACTTAGTTGTGATATTCAAACATTTTTTAGCAGAAGAGTCATTTTTTCCACTTGTTACCTCAAGATTCCTGCTGCTGCACCTAAAACACTCCTAGGCGCCTCTGAGCAGCTTTGAGGGAACTTGGAACTCTACTGACCAGTTCAAAAACCACTATGGTAGTAAATTCATATCTGTCAGAGTCAACAGATACTGATATAACTTTGGTGGGGGGGACAGAACCTCAAAAAAAATATCAAAATACACCTATGTCTGATCTCTTAATGTTGGCCAGCCTCAGGGCTCAGTCCTTGTTTTAGTCCCTGTGTATTCACTCTTGCTCCGTGAATGAGCTTTACAAAGCATCTCTAAGCTGATGACTCTAACTTTATGTCCAGTAGCTCAGATCAAACACTTCAGAGTCGGCCTTTCCTCACACTCATATTCAATATGGCAGGAAGGTCTGTTGGCTGTAGCTTCCAAACACATCTAGAAATGACTACTTCTCACCAACTCTACCTGCCATCTTCTTTGGCCTGGATGGCTGCCACAGTCTCCTAACTGGTCCCTTTGCCCCTCCATAGTATTCTCAAAACATTAGCCAGAGTGGTCCTTACATGAAGTGATATTATTTCACACTTCTACTTCAAATCATCCAGTGATTCTCCATTTCACCCAAGGAAAAGCCAAAGTTCTTTCAATGGCCCTAAAGGTTGTGGTGGACACTGTGATGTGCTGCCCAGATCCCCTTCAGAATGACTTACCACCTCGCTGCTAGGAGTGCTGCTGGCATACAGCCCTCAGCTGTCAACATCTTCGGGGATTGCCTCAGCCGAAGAGAGTCACCTCACCCAAGGTCACAGAGCCTTCTCAGGGCAGCCCACATCCAGTGACTGAGTGACATGGGGTTATCAAGGCCCAGACTTCTCGCCCCAACCACTCTGAAAGGCCACTCTGAAAGATGACTCTGAAAGGCGACTCCAGGTCCAGCGCTACATGGGGAGGTCAGCTGAGGCCGTGGTTGGGCCTGCGTTGCAGCTTGACCTCTACTTCTGTCCTACTTCCTTCCACTCTTTTCCACAGGTCTTGATCCCAACGCACTCCCTAATAAACGACCTGCACGCCAAATTCCACCTCAGAGTCTGCTTCCAGAGAACCCTGCCTGCAACATGGTCCCACATGATCTAGTCCCCCTACAGCCTCTCTGATGCTGTGTCTGAGCAGTCTCCCCTGTCCACCCTGCTCCAAGCACACTGGCTTTGGTGTTTCTTCCAGAGGACTGGCACGCCTCTGCCTTAAGGTCCTTGCAGGTCTGTTCCTTCTGCCTGGAACACAGTTCCCCAGATGTCTACACTGCTACTTCTCTCACCTCTTTCAAAATTTGCTTAAATGTCACCTTCTAAAGGAGCCTGCCCTGGGCTGGCCCTGTGGCTTAGCTGTTAAGTGCGCGCGCTCCGCTGCTGGCGGCCGGGTTCAGCTCGGGCATGCGCCTACGCGCCGCTTCTCCGGCCATGCTGGGGCCGCCTCCCACATGCAGCGACTGAAAGGATGTGCAACTATGACATACAACTGTCTACTGGGGCTTTGGGGGAAAAAAAAGGAGGAGGATTGGCAATAGATGTTAGCTCAAAGCCGGTCTTCCTCAGCAAAAAGAGAAGGATTAACATGGATGTTAGCTCAGGGCTGATCTTCCTCACAATAAAATAAAATAAAACAAAATAAAGGAGCCTGCCCTGACCACCTGGTTAAGGCAGGAAACAAGAGGAAAAGATTTAAAGGAGGAACATTTCTCATCTTTTCCTAATGTGTTTGCTTACTTTTCTGGGTATAGATTCCATTTTGAAGAAATGACTTCACTCGTTTAAAAACGAGTTTGGAAATTACTGTTTTAAATAAATGAAGGCAGTGCAATGGTAAAGAACAGGCTCTGGACTCAAATGGACCTGGACTGACTGCCCCAGGGCTGCCACTCTGCAGCTACAGGGCCTGAGGCAAGCAACTCCGCCCCTCTCCACCTCAGCCTATCTGTGAAGTAGGGATAATGATATTCGGTATACTTCTTAGAATGGTTGTGAGGATTAAATGACTTTAAATATCTAACGGGTTGTGAAAAGTATAAGGGGCCATGTAAATACTGGGAATTATTGAGAGATGGTCCTATGAACCACACATAGCAAAAAATCCACTGGAAGCATATTTGCATCCTGGCTTACAGGTCAAGGTGATAGGAAATAATCTTTTCAGCTCTGCTCACCCCTCAGTAGACTGAAAAATTCCAGCAAAGCAGAAAGAACTGGGCTTAAGAGAGCAAGCATCACCCTGAGGGCAGAGGGACAGCCTCCCTGGGGACACTGAAGTACAGTTACCACCCAAAACAGTCCCGTTACATGGTATAAAATCCTAATTTTTTGCTCTCCTCACACTCACTTTAATTACTTCAGACTTTATTCTAATCTCTAAGGCCCATGTGAAAAAATCACATAGGATTTCAAATATCTGGGTCTATATATGTTCATCAGAAGAGCTTTAAACTTTAAAACCAGCCGTGTCTGGTTATTTGAGATTAGAAGCCTAAGTCTTTTCATGTATATTTTCAACCCAAAGTTTTTATATTTATTTCTGTTTCTGTGATACAAAATAACTGTACTTGGCTTAAAAATAAAACAATAACTCCTCCAAAATCTCAACTGTTTTTACGTTTACTTCCATTCATTTTTCATTTACTAGAGTGAAATGTCCTTGCCCATAACCTCAAATCCACAAGCTTGATTGCTTTCAGAGGCTGTGCTGGAGACCCACCCTGCCAAGCAGAGATGATAGACCACCTATAAGCTGGCGCTAACAGAAACTGTAACCATCTAACATTTATCATCACATTATGTATCTGCCCTTTCAGATTTATTTGTAAATTCCACTATAGTCCATTTCTTTATTTCTAGGAAGAGAATCTTATAAGCTTATGTTAAAAACAATAAGCATGTTCATTTTAGAGATATCATTATTTAAAACCACCATTCTACAGTTATACATTAAAAATAACAATAATTGTACCATTTATTAAAATGATCATAATAATAAATGGTGCTATAGAGGGATAAGGAGAGCAGACATTGTCCTAATCAAAGACCACATAGTATGACTTTGCCATCCTCCAGACTCATGTGCTATATCTGGGAAAATCCCTGTCTGGGGTGTGGCAAGTGTGTGTGTGTGTGTGTGTGTGTGTGTGTGTGTGTGTGTGTGTGTGTGTGTGTTTTCCCTGTGGAAAGTCAGTGCTATGTCAGATTATCCAGAGTCTTCCTTAAAGGGATAATCTACTAGAAACTGCCTTAGTTTTCCAAGCCTCCCTTTGAGGATATCCTGCACTCCTCTGATTTTTCTTCATAGCTTTATACAACTTAATATTCAGACTAGGGAAACTAGAAATCTCCTCCAGGTCAAACAACTCCTTAAATCTATCTACAAATTTATTTTCTTTCTCCAACCTGAATTTCATGACCCAGAAGATGACGGTAGTTTCTTTGCACAGATGGTCAAAGGTAATGAGGAGTTCCTCCAGGAAAGGATGAGCATAGACAACATCGGCTGCCAGGATATAGTCGAAATTGTTGGAAGACCTGGGGAAGTTCTTGTCTAAAGCTACACCCCAGGAGAGTTCTTTAACTTGAGGCAAATGCCTACATTTCATTTTGGTGTTTCGGGAAATATTATATTGCAGGTTTCCAAGTAATTCAGGTAAATCTGTGGCAGTCACATGTGCACCTGTGAAACAAAGGACAGTAGGAAAAATAACCCTCATGGAATTAGGTAAAGCAATTAGGTTTTAAGCCAACATGCATTTGCAATTCTGCACAATTGCTAGCCCTAAGGAAAAGACCGGTCAGTACACACAGGACAGAAATCCCCTTCAAACTGGACGCTAAGGCAGCTTTATACCACCCCTTAAAAATAATTAGATTCCCATGTACTTTTGTACTCTGTTGCATTTTTCTTTTCTCTTGGTTTTTTGTTTTGTTATTGTTGCTGTTGTTATTTTCTATTTACCCAGTTATGCTAGGAGAAAAATAATCAAGAGAAAAGGAAATTCAAAATATTTGGTACCCTTGTTGTAACAACCAGAAGTCATGGTTGAAAGATGAACAAGTTCTTCCCTAAAAGAATTCTGAGCCCCAGTCATGTAAGGCTGAATGAGTATATATAACATTGGGCATCTTATCATTGAACAGGAAGTGCTTAAGTGTGAGAAGTGGAGGGAGGAAAAAAAAACCTTTTCAATGGCATTATGTTGGAAGTATCGTGACATCCATGTTTATGCCCAAGTTTTCAGCTTGACCCCATAATAAGTATAAATCTTCTCATCAAAAGCTGTTTAAAACCTATTCACAACATGTATACAGTACTCATCCAGCCAAAGATCTTAGATGCAGGACAGAATGCCCAGATAAAAAAGATATAAATAATTTCTGAATTAAAAATGAATAGTGATGGTCATTTTCAGGAAGAAATTGGAAGGGGCAAAATTGTAGAAACCAATAACCAGTGAAATTTGCCCCTTAAAGTGAATTTTGAGCAGTAGCAGAGCCTGAAGATAATGTGTAAATAAATTTAGGACTGGCCAATTCCACATCATCAGACAGGAACAGACTCGGGTAAGGAATGGGAAAACAGAACTGGAAGAGAAGTCTAGTTCAGCCCACATCACTTTAGAACCCATTCCTTAGCCATGATGGCAAGTTTCTCTGGCCATTGATTGTATTTTGTGGGAAATATTAAAATAGGAGGAAAATATGCATGTCATTGGTAGAATCACAGAAATATGACTCTTTACATGCTAGTGTGGGTGGGTCTATCATTTTCAACAAATCTTTTTAAAATCCCAAGATAAAGAATACCCCACGCCCATAGTGAATATAAACTATCTGACTATTAAGATTTTTGCATCTAGAGAAGCACACACCACCACTTTTAGAATACCGACCAAACAAAGCTTCCATGTCTTGACATTTGTGTCAAGTTATGCAAGCAGACTGAAAAGATCAATTTTTTTTTTTTGTGAGGAAGATCAGCCCTGAGCTAACATCCATGCCAATCATCCTCTTTTTGCTGAGGAAGACTGGCCCTGAGCTAACATCTATTGCCAATCCTCCTCCTTTTTTTCCCCTTTTTCTCCCCAAAGCCCCAGTAGATAGTTGTATGTCATGGCTGCACATCCTTCTAGTTGCTGTACATGTGATGCCCACTCAGCATGGCCAGACAAGCGGTGTGTCGGTGCGCGCCCGGGATCCGAACTCAGGCTGTCAGTAGCGGAGTGCTCGCACTTAACCGCTAAGCCACGGGGCTCGCCCCAAGATGAATTCTTTTTAATGAAACAAATGATTTCCCAAAGCACAAACTCTGCTCCTAGATCAAGAAGCCTTCAGGTATAAATCCAATAGTGCCTGACTCTCTCCACACTAAATGGAATGGTGACTTTGGAAAGTAATATCAGGACAACCAATTTCTTTAAAAACTATTTAGGGAGGACGTCAGGGGTCCTACATTTCTCCAGCATTTAGAAAGTTGTAAATTGCTAAACCTTGCATTCCTTTCAAGATTTTACAGTGGCAGGTGTGCACTTCTGAAGATCAAGGAAATCAAGACAGATTTGGGTAGCACACATCAGAGAAGGCAGCTAAATTAAGGCAATGAAAGAGATAACAACAACAAAAGATTGAACTGGAGCAGGCTTAGGCATACATAGAGATCATCACACATTTAGTTGGAAAAGAAGATGCTAGTGAGAGAACAAGGGTTTGCAAAAGAAGAAAGGAAATGAACTAAAAAAAATAAATTCAAAGGCAAACACCTAAAATTAGAAGCAGACGTGGTTTCTATGTGATTTCTAATACTCCTTCTGTATTCTAAGAATGCTTTTTCATAAAAGCATAGGACTTCAAAACCCAAAAGGAATATACCGCTACACGGGAACATTGCAGTAGGGCTAAAATTTAAATAAAGAACATCAGAGTCAGCAGCAGTAGATTATGCCTATGCCTAGGTTTTCACACATCTGCTCTAGCAGCCAGGATGCTTAAGTGCACTTCCCAGTTAGAATACATGGTGACTTAGCACTCTCTGAGAAGAATTCATACACCTTCACAGAAAATTCTGAAAGAAATCAGTAAGGTGACTTTAAAATTGGTAGAGTTTCTTGATGAAGCCCATTCAAACAATTAAGGAGTTAAAAATAGGCCCAGGTCATAGTAAACTGGATAGTAAAAGCAATTAATGATATTGGATCATTAAATTCTCTGACCCCATTCAATCAAAAATACCTACTTACCAAGTAAACTTGCCACGATAGAGACCAGCCCTGTTCCAGCTCCAATTTCAATCACATTTTTGTCAACCATATTATACTGCTTTACATTTGTTTCCAGAAAATAGCATAGAACAAGGGCCTATGAAAGTTTAAAAAAAGAAAAACGTGGTGCTTGGCAAATACTAACAGAAGGCAAAATTAAGCTCTATTAGATAAACATTTCACTAATGCTGTGACATGCATGGGTGCCCCAAGAGTATATGTGTGTATACATACAAATCACTACAGAAAATTATCAACACAAGTACATCCTCTGATAGGTTCGACATTTAGGCTAGAAAAAGTCGTTGGGGGGCCAGCCCAGTAGCTTAGTGGTTAACTGCACGTGGTCCGCTACTGGCAGCCCAGGTTCGGATCCCAGGTGCACACTGACGCACGGCTTGTCCGGCTATGCTGAGGCCGTGTTCCATGTATAGCAACTAGAAGGATGTGCAATTATGACATACAACTATCTACCGGGGCTTTGGGGGGGAAAAAAAGGAGAAGGATTGGCAACAGATGTTAGCTCAGAGCCGGTCTTCCTCAGCAAAAAGAGGAGGATTAGCATGCATGTTAGCTCAGGGCTGATCTTCCTCACAAAAAAAAAAAAAAAAAAAGTCCTTGGGGCTCGTTGGAAAGAAAACATAACTAAAAATATGGAGTTCAGTTGCTTAGGTTTGATTATCTTTAAAGAAAGCAAGTCTTAACAGTAATAGTCATTTCAAAGAAGTGTGTGGAATTGGGGCTGACTGTGGTGAGGGATCTGCACCCTTCATGGGACAATCGTAAAGGAGTGGTGGCCTTTCAGAATATTCTGCATGTTGAGACTGATACAGATTTTATTATAATTGTTTAACTCAAATGGAGTCAGCTAAATGGGAAATAAAAATGTTCCCTATTCTAAACTCTTACAGTCACAAAAAACTGAAGGTGTAAACAACACTCTTTATTAACCCTACGAGTCAGAAATAGAATTAATAGGTGGAAGCATTTTCCCAATTTCATGATTTCTAAATTTTAGTGTTGTTTGAGGTCGCAAAATAGAACTATGGAACCTATTTTCTTCCTCCAAATAGTACATAATAATAAGCAAAACCAGCTGAAAAATCATTGAGATGTAGCAAATTTTGTATGAAATTATACCGATGGCCAAACAACGGCACCATAACAATCCGTGGCTTCAGTAATCCGAATCTCTTGACCCACAAAATGAAATCCCTCCCAGGAGGCGGTTGTTATTAAAGTTGGAACAAAACATCTTGCCATGATCTGTGCAACCACTTCCTTGTCATCATCATCTTCTCTGTTCTCTGGAAGGAAAAGAAAAAGGCAATGGTTGTGGTTGTGTTAGTAAAACCATGACAAAGGAGAAGAACCTGATGCAAATGTAGCATTCCTACCTAGCATAGGTTACTTTTCAATGTTCATTGACTTTAGGGGAAATGCAATAGCGAGGTAAACTATTTGAAAATAACTCACAATATAAGCTAACATTTCATATATCGGGGTGGCAACATCCCTCCGATTTTCACTGAAGTTGACATCACCACTATTCATTTCTGCAAGGCTACGCGAAACAAATACTAATTGATATACTTTTTTAAAAGCAGTATATTTGAAGGGCTACCAATCTATTCATCTAGAACAAGAGCAAGGATTGGTGATGGAATATAAGATGTCAACTATTCATATTGCCTACACAGTGCAATTCCAGTTATTTCAATAACATATAGTAGTACATCCTTTATGACCTGCCTTTATTCAGATAAAAGGTATTTAATACCACCCAACAATATGCCCTTGTATTATTTTATTATCACTTATTTTTATATTATTATTTTGGGGCAAATCATGCATCTTAACATCTGCAACATTGCATAAGGTTAATAAGCAACATTAACTATCTATTACTGAGCATATATTTAACATGCCAGACCATGTTAAATACATTGTATATGATATTTCATGTAATTACTGCAACAAATCTTGTGAGTGAGGCATTATTATTTGCACTTTTACAGATAACAAAACTAAGATTCAGAGGGCTTTATTAACTTGACCAAGCTCATGCAACCTGTAAGTAATGGAACCAAAATTTGAGCTCCTTTTTCAGTTGCTCCAAAGCCCCATCTCTAAACTCTTAAAAAGCTATGAGTAATTTTTAAAAAACTAATTGTCTCTAAGAATTTACAAACTAGTTATGGAGGAAGATATACATCTCTTTCTAAGGCTCCATTTCCTTATTTGTAAAATATGAAACATAAAAGAACATACATCAAATAGTGGTGGGAGATTTAAAAAAGATAATGTATGTAAAGTGTTTAGCACCTTGTCTACAATTACATACAGCTCAATAAATGATAATAATAATTACAATCATTATTACAATAATTACAATTATTATTATTATTATTATAGCTGGTATTATATTTTGGTCATGAAACTGAATGATAAAACAAGCTGACAATGTAATTGAAATGTTGGATTGTGTGGTACAGACTTGAAAGTTCTTGAATTAAATAAAAAAGGGGAAATCACTGTGGCAGAGGTTACCAGAGACAGCTTCATAAAGTAAGTGTCTTAAGGTTTAACCTTTAATCTAAAATACAATTTGCACTGCTAGAGAAATTTTATTTCTTACACCCATCCTTCAAACCCATGGATCCATCAATTCTTGTCTCTGCTCTTTGCCACTTCCCCAACCCCAGCACTAATGAATGCAGCTTAGTTCTCTTCAGAAGAGAAGACAGAGAACAAAGATTGAACTTCAAGTATAAGGAAGGAATAGGGTTACAAAAGCCAAGAAAAGGAAAAACAGTTTGTAATTCATTAAAGAGGAAGAGATGAGACAGCAAAGATTCATTTTTAAAAGTTAAGCCAGAAGAACCTTTGTTCCTTGGTTATTCCATTTACCTACTCGACAAAACTGTACTGAGGTCCTGCTCTGTGCCAGGCTCAGTGCCAGATGATGGGAAGACTGCAGTTGGCCAGACATGGTTCTGCCCCCATGGTTCCTGCCCTCAGGAAAACCAGAAATGCATAGACACAATTTATCTGAACTTCAGTAATACAGGTGGTATCTCATGACATCCCCATGAGGAAACTCTGGATTGGATGCAAGTTAGTTTCCATAGTGCCCCCAAAGCACTTGGCTTTGATGCCCACCTGTATAGACCTTCTAATAAATGGTATATTCTCAGCTTTGCCCTGATCAACACTTTGTTACTGGTTTTTTCGATTATATTAAGAGTGTGATCAAATTCTCATATGATATGAATGTGATGGGGAATTATGCTAGATAACTGTGATACAAAATATCTTGATGGGCTATACCAGTGGATTGGACTTAACGATATGACAGTTAATAAAGACAAATGTAAAGACCACATTGAGGCTGCACTATTTTTGGAGAGGGAAAGATACATAGATGTAATTGGCCAAAAGCTGAATATGAGTCAAAAGTATAAATAACTATCAAAAAAGCTATTACACCCAGGTCATATTAACAATATAATTTCCAAAAGGAAGAAGGTAAAGGCTCTCTTCTATTTGATACTAGTCAGGCCACAATTGTAGCCCTGTGCTCAGTGTGGAAAGCCCCACTGTAGAAGGTGATTGAGAAACTGGAGCAACAGGGAGGTGAGAAATCTTGAAACTCAGCCATACAAGGACAGTTTGGGGAGATCAGCATTTTCATCATAACAAAGAAACGACCTGAGGGAACACAAGAATTTTCACAAATTTGAAGGACTGGCCAATAGAAGAGATAAAAATATGAGTGTGTGTGTGTGTGTGTGTGTTCCCAGAAAGCAGAATCTGAAACCATGGGGAAAAGTTACAATAAGGCAGATTTTTTATATTTTTCTAAAAGTCACACCTTTTCAAAAATGGAATGGCTTGCCTCAGAAAGCAGTAAGCAATTAATCCCCAGAAGTTATCAAACAGAAACCAAATGACTACTCTTTCAGGATATTAAGGATACATCAGATTGATGTTTGGTCTAACTGGACTAGGACCACTGTACAACTGAATTTCTATGAATCAATGAAATAACTATATGCCATCATATGAAGAAGAGCTGTCAGAGAGATACAGTGTGCAAAGGAAATGTAGGAGAGAAAGTACGTGTAGCAGACGAAAGGAAGCCAGTGGCAAGAGAGAGATATCAGACTTTGGAAGGGAAGTGAATGAATGGGGGTAAGATTTCTCAGTAAGCAGAAAAGACATGCTCCAAATGACAGGCTAGGGGATTCATTCATTTATTCAACAAAGAGTCACTGAGTACTTACTATAGTCTACACACTGTCTAATGACTGGGAATAAAAAAATTCAAATATACAGTCCTTGTGCTGGTGAAGCTTACAGATATGCAGAGAGAGACAGGCCAACGGAAAATTACAGTGTTATACAACAATTGCTAAAATGGAGGTGAAAGGAATGCTCAATGAAACACAGAAAAAGGAACCCCAGGTCAGCCTGTGGAAATCATAGAAAAGTTCACAGAGAGGGTATCTTTAAGCAGAGATTTGAAAGATAACAAGGGTATAACGGAGGAAAACAAAGTCCAGGAGAAGGAGGAGCACTTGCATAGGTGTAGGTCCATGAAAGAATGTGACATCAGGGATATTCTGTATTATTATTTATTATATTGTGTGTGCTTTTGTTATATATAATGGTATATAATATATACTAGTATAATATACAATACATAATATAGATAATGCTAAATAGTTCAATTGTGGGAAGTGAGTGACAGATGAGACGAAGCAGGCAAATATGAACTAAGCATCACTTACACATAATGCCGTGGAGTTTTGGTTTCCTGTTGTAGGTAATGGAGGTGTCAGTGAAGAACTCTAAGCAGGAAAGTGATATGAGTGGATTTGGTAATGATGTGGAGAACTGACTGAAGGAAATATCGTGTAGTAATTAAGGGTAAGTCATTCATTTATTCAATAAATACTGACTAAGGGCTACTATGCCATCATTGGCCTGGGTGCTTGAGGTACAGCAATGAACAAGACAGACAGTATCTTCACTGTTATGTAGCTTATATTCTAGCAAACAAAAATGATTTCAGAGAGTGGTCAAGGCCATGAAGGAATTAAATAGTGATGTAATGGAGAGTGACTGATGAGGGCTTGGTCTGGTAAGATCTCTCTGAAAAGGTGGTGCTGAACTGAGATATACATGATAAGGAAGAGAAAATTATGCAAAAAGACTCCAAAAGGAGGAACAATGACAACAAAGGCTTTCTCTCTAACAAGTCTGGATTCAAATCCCAACTCTGCCCCTTAAGGGGCAAGATGCTTAACCTCTCTGAGCTTCAGTTTCCTTAACTTTAAATCAATGATAATAATATTACCCAGACCTCATAGAGTTATTATAAGGATTAAATGACATAATCATAAAAAGCAGTGACTCAATGTTTACTACAAAGTAAGGGCTCAATGACAATTAGTAGCGATAGTCATGATCATTATTGCTGTTGTTGCCATCATTGTCATCATCATCGTCATCATCACCATTGTCATCATCATCATTCAGACCAGAAACTAGAATTCCATTTATAAAATTTACCAGTCATAATCCAGGTGAGTACAAAGGTACCTGACTCAATACAGTAGAGATGGAGAAAAGGAGACAAAACCAAAGATATTAGGAGGCAAAACCAATAGGACTTGATGAGTAATAGAACAAAAGAGAGAATTTAGATAATTATGGAGTCCATGTGTCTATACACTGAGGTGACAGCTAAATTGTAGATTAGAGATATGTACTACAGAAAGGTGACATCATTGTGAACTAAGCAAGTAAGATTGTCACTCCAAAAAAAGGACTGGGAGCTGAGGATGAAGAAGGCATCTTTGAATAGCCCCAGTTGGGGAGTGATCAGAGAATAGATGAAATCATTTATTACAACATTCTGGCCCCTTTTCCCATGTTCTCCTCCTTTTCTAGTCCCCTTACTAGCTCCTCCTTATAAGAGAGGAGAAGCTGCTCTTCTGATTAGCAGCCTAATGCATTGATCGGGCCACATTGTTTCCTAGAGGAGGGGTAGCTGTGCCTTAATAGGTCAGCCCGCCTATGGCAGCTGAGCTGGGCAAAGTCCTGCCTCGGAGAAAACTTGACCAATAAAAGCATGTAGGCCTGCAATTCTTGATTTCTCATGTAGAACAGAATCTTGGCTTACATCCAGAGCACATAACGTTAAATGTCTGCCATCCTAAGCATGTATTTCTCTTGTACACACTTGTACAAGAGAAATACTCTTGTACACACCTCAAGGCTGTAATTACATTCAGCAATC